TGAAACAGCTATGACCGATTCAAATAATCTTGTTCAGAGTGAGAAGTATGTAGATAGATAAGGTAAGCTTGTTTGTGTCATGCATTGGAAGAAAGAATGAAAGTTAACAGATTCCAGTTATGTTGTCTATCTGAAATATTCAATATGCCAATGTTACAGCGATATAACAGGTATACTAACATGAGAAAGGTGTATAAAGTTGCATGTCAAATTGGTGAGTACTTCAATTTTGCAAAGTCAAAGCTTGATGTAAGGCAAAAAGTTCATGCCACTTCACAAAACCAACTTCATTCCCAATTCAGGACACATACCATAATTATTTTATAAAAATGTTCAACACAAAAAATAACTGTTTTAGTTTTGGGGAATGTAAGAAATCATGAAATATATTCAACATGTTCATACTTTAAACAATGAAAATTATTCAAACAGTTTTTTTCTTCATTTACATACAACGCACATGTATCAATAGATAATTGTTTTTGGACATCTTAACCATCTGAAAAAGTGTAAAATGGAATGTTTCTGTTTTTGTTCTTTAAGTAATTATGGTATGGTACATCAATGTAGTCAGATGATGTTTCCATGTCAGCTAGGCTAAATACCAGGTATTGGTTTGCAAGGGAAAACGAGATCTGATGATAGGAAGTGTATAGAAACAGAGTGAAAACTATGTGGCCTTTGACATAATTGACCTAAAGGCGACTGTACATAGATGTGATTACTGTGAAGCCTCTTGTCACTGACCTCAAGGCCAGTATGTACATAGATGTGCTTGCTATGTGGGTTCTGATATCACTGACCCCAAGGCCATTATGTATATAGATGTGATTACTGTGTAGCCTTTTAATATGTCACTGACTGTGAAGCCTCTTGTCACTGACCTCAAGGCCACTATGTACATAGATGTGCCTGCTGTGTGGGTTCTGATATCACCGACCTTAAGGCCAATATGTATATAGAAGTGCTTGCTATGTGGGTGCTGATATCACTGATCTCAAGGTCACTATGTACATAGATGTGCTTGCTGTGTAGCCTCTAATGTCACTGACCTCAAGGTCACTATGTACATAGATGTACCTGCTATGTGGAAGCCTGTAAAACTAAGAACTGTTGACATCCATACACATCAGGTTATCTTCCACCGGGAATGCTATTAAATTTTATGATTCCTTAAACTCAGTTCTAAAAACAAATAGAATGAACATATGCCTTCTTCTCTGGAAGCCAACATACATGGATCATCCAAACTGTATACACTTCTACATCTACTGAAGCTTTGATACAACTTGCAACAGGTTAATCACACAAAATGCATAATTCAGGAACTAACATTGTATGATTTGTTCCTCCTTACAGTGCGCTTAGAATGTACATCAACCATAACATAAAGAGTTGGAGGGGAAGAGGAGTGACACAATCATCAGCTCATTATGCCCAGTTTGATTCCTGTATAGGTTCAGTATATGAGGCCTATTCACAGTTTCCACTGTTGTATGGTGGAAATATTGCTAACAGAGGCATTAAACCTCCCTCACAAATCACACTTATTTATTCATATGACTGGAAAGCATAATATCATTACAATATGTAATAACATTGTACAAAGCATATCACAATGATAATGGTGTTCACATATATTCATAACATATCAGTTGTTTCAAAGTGGAGAAATTACATTCTTCCACATCCCGTCTTCCTGTGGCCTCATTATACACCAGCGTACATGTCAACCCGTGACTCTGCATCCAGTGAGAGCCAGTCAGACACCAAGTGATCCACTGACTACTCAGACCGACAAAAAAGAAATCAATTGCAGACTTAACTACTGCACCAAGAGCTCTGTGCCATAACACAACCATAGAATCAAATAATGATTTTCTCCATGTTCTGGTTGGTAGGTTCATTTCAAACAGGTTCTAACACGAGCATATTGCAGTTGGGACATTTATCTTAAGTGATAAATTATGAATTATGTTTCCTATGAATATCAATGAAACCTCCCAAAGAAGTTGTACATTTTGCCCTTTCTTGCTTATAGATAAAGTTATCTCAAAGAAACTGGTTAAAGGATTTAGCTATGATGATTACAATGATACCACTGTTAATGTGAAATTCTTAAAGCCATCATGTCTATCCTCGGGCCATACAGTAAGTACCAGATTTTACAAGCTGACCTTTCACCTCCCAAAATTATGTATACCTGTTCATGACATTATGAAACAAAGATCCCTGAATTTATCTATATATCTTGGTTACATGACACTGCTTGCATGTGGCACACTTCCACACAAGCTCGTACCAAACATTTCTGGTTTTGATCGATAATTCAGTGTCAAGGACAAAATTGTAAACCTCCATTTACATGATCACAACAGATAACAAGTACATAAATCACCCCTGATCTACACTTTCTCAGGCAATTAACATACTCTTTCTTGAAGGTTATGATCCGTTTTGAGTTGCAAAATACCTGATCAGCACATTTTCACAAAGACAGGTTTTGAGATTGCAGAAGCCTTGTCAACTACGAGTCTCTCCATGCCAGCACAACCCTGCCCAGTCATGCATGGCCAAATCTTTCGTCATGTCAACCACTCAGAATAACACCTTCAAAGGGACATGATGAATTATTTATGATTTAAAAAAAAATATCGAGTATTTCATGATTTCATGGACTTTATATTGGCATTGTTAGCAAGGCTGGAAGCAGACAATGATCACAGCTGCGTCAGTGTAAGGCAGGTAGTGTGTTGCATTTACATAAACGCATTCCTAGACTACTTCATAAAAGTATCAATGAGCAAATCTGAACTTGTGCATTGTGAGGTTAAAATATCAAGGTATAGTCTTCATCGGTAGCCTAGGCTTATGTTTTGTTTTTTTGCATAGGTAAAAAATATTCAAATTACTATAACTTCTTTTTGTAAGTATTTTTGATGAAATAAATATTTCAAGAGTCACTTGGTGCCATTTTAAGAGTCTTTCCTCAAATTAACCCTGTTCTAAAATTCGCAGTCTTGGCACATTGATGAGAAAATGCGATAAACAAGACTTTAAATAAGTCTAAACCTTATGATATTAAAATCAAACATTTAAAATGATCACATAGCAGTTAAAATGAATACACCATAATGTAACATTTGATTCACAGTCACCTGTCAATTGTCTATGACAGTGTAAAGGTTAAGTAACATGAATACCTGAGATATCAGTGATCAATCAGAAGATCATGAATAATGCCCTGGACTGGAGACATACAGAATCTCGTCAAATCTGTTCAGCTACTTTAACAAAACAAATGTTACAAGCCTGGACTAATATTAAAGTGGTCAGATATGATAACTGCAAATAGAATCCATACTGAACCATATTTTTGTCATTGAAAGATTGTGTACTTCCTACGGAAATACTCCATACATGCAACTGACCTGAACTTTGTGAGAGGAGATTGCATATGTGAATAATAGACGTATAATGGTCGCAGGAACAGTGACATGACATTTGTACATGGCTGGGGCATATGTAAGTGCTCCCATTCATGTGAAGGCAGCAACACAACTACAGATACAACCTCTCCGAGATGTGTATCATCGTTATATTGCATGTGCATTAGCAATATCCATAACAAAATATCAATAAACATATCATGGCAATATTACAGAGTAATTTTTACATGGATTGGGCCGCTGCAAGTTCATGAATCTCATTGTTGTTCCCAATGAATATTTGTGTGTAGATTTTATGAACAGGTTACAACACTATGGTACTGTAATGCTTGTTGAGTGAGGGAGTGATTATTGCTGAATCTTGCAGCTATTACCTGTAAGGAAAACAGTACATGTAACCAGGACCATTATCAACTGACTAAGCTCATGAGCAATAAAAAGAATCAAATAAAAATACAATAATCACTGCCACTTATCACTTTTATTAAAAACTATTAATCTTTGCTCAGAAAAAAATATCTAAACCAAGACAAAAAAGAAAAACGATTTAAGTAACATCCAGTGTGTTGTGGCTCGTGTTCAGCAATGTTTTATTCAAGCAAATGCATATATTTCCAGCAAATTAGTGCTCCCATCAAGGTCAAATTTTCATGACAAGAGATCCTGATACCAACCCTAGAAATCCAAATAGCTTCTGGGCAAATCTAAACACCCATGGTAATGCCAGACATTTAACTGCCAACAATTGGCAATAAAATACTTAAACACTTGAACAGTTCCCTAAAAATAGATGTAATCAAGCACATGCGGGATTCAGGCACCTGATTACTCACTTGTCTTAACTGGATGTAAGAAAGATTCTTGTCCCTGCATAATTAGACAGTTTGCAAAGGTGAGTGTCAGATAAATGGTGTGCTACCTTTGTGTACTTGAAGCAATGTTTCCTTGAAACTTGTAAACTATAACTTGTGAGGACCTTGTCTAACCTGTTTGTTGCTTTCTTGCGTCCACCTACAGGCGGCTATGACATGCTGGGTCTAGACAAGTAAGTTGAGTGGAATGGGATGCCTTGCAGAGGTTAATTTCATAGTCTGTTGGTCAAGCCAGGAACACAACTGTTGTTTTGTCCACATACTATCAAAGTGTTAACCTGGTATCCTGTGTCACAGAATACCAGCTGAAGCATAGTTCATTCACAACTATAACTCCAACATTATTGGTTCGAAAGACACAATATATATGTAGCTGTATAAATGTGAGACAGTCACGTTAACAAAAGCAAATCTTTTTCACCAAACAGGTTGCACTCAAAGGCTACAGATTTTGCTGTATGTAGTTGCACCCCTTAGCATGGCAGCCTTCCCTGTTCATTTGAAACTCAGTTAAGCACTTGTCATTTTCAACAAAGCTATCATGGTCCTATGACATTTGCAAGTGTATATAAAAGTATGGGAGTTACAATCAATCCAGCATTAATATCACTTTGTAGGCCCTGAATAGGGTCCTTAGTAGCACCCTGTAAGTCATAACCAGAGAGGTAACCTTTTACAGTCTGACACACTGTGATATACCGGTACATACTACCAAAGGTTACAATAAATCATATGATTTCACACTTCTAAACACTGTGCCTCACAACACTCAGCCGCCCTGAACTACCAACAGATGTAGCAACTTACTAAATATGTCCCCTTTTAACTTTACTTGATACATACAAATATTCCTACCATACATTGATGTGAACCAGGTCCTTTAAAAGTAAATGTAGATGGCCTGAAAGGTTGTTATAAGAACAGCACAGCTCAGTGCATGTGATCTTAACATAATGTACAAATATGCCTGTAATAAATGCCTTACAATTTTTATATGCCAACACTGATTTTGAACCCATCACTCTGTTTCCTGTGACACTATCAAAGAAAGATTCCCCTTCCAGTTTAAATGTGAACGTCTAACTGATGTGACATCCTGCGTGTATGGCAGGGCAGTCAGTCTGGTCCCCTCCTGTTTGAAGTGTCCTACCCTGCTGATTAGCTCTATTACATCCCATATGTCAGTGTCAGACTCCACCACCTAAACCCACATCATCTACATCCAAGCCCAGTTACAGAGAGGTCTACATAATACATTGTATATTAAGTGATAGTTTCAGTAGACTGGTCTTCAGTACGTATGAATGGTTCCATGAGTGTTTATAAATTAGTTCATTTAATCAAATATTCCGTACCATTTATATGTTCTTATGATATTTTCATGATTACATGAGCATGAGTCTTGATTTGAAGATTCGCATGCAGCTATATGAGATAATGTTATACAGCAATGTTCTAGCAATATAACAGCAGCCTCTACATAACTGAGCTAGGGTCAGACATACCCATGGTTCATACTTTCAACAACTGCCACACAACCAAGTTCAAGAGAGTCACCAATAAGACCCCTCTTACGACAAGCAGTCAAGTGCATGGGATATATTCTAACCACTTTGCTCACCAAGTCATAGCAGAGCTGTTGTGAGAAAGAACTTTAAACATGAAAACATTTTCTTCAGAAAAGTCAAATTATCTTGATGAAACAGAAAGTTGCCATCACAAAAGTGATACACTGTTTGTGAATTAGTTGCAAATTCAGATCAAAGAACAACAAAAACTTAATTAACATTCCTTGGCTGTAGGTGAACACATATCACTGTTGAAACTGTTTTTACCGGAATATACTTATGGAGTAAGGTTTTACATAGGATGCCATTTTTGTAGAGTTTCACATCTGCACACCTGGCTTTCTCGAGTTAGTTTGATTTTTATAATGAGATATCTCTGTAGCAGTAACTAGATCCACAGCACCATCGAGGGAAAACGTTGTCTACAATGTTGGCCAGAACGATAGTGGAGACAGTCTTCACACTACATTTCTTATATTCTGAGATCTGTGGGCTTTCTAGCACTGAATTATCCAAGAATATCAGAGGTTGGAACTAGTCCTGTAATAGTCTACATTGTACACACACAACCAATAGCCCTGTGGGTACCGATGTTGATACAAGTGACATCAGCTGTTAGAGTTAACATTATGTCTTCACACCCAATGCTTCTAGTACCCTGTTCCTTCTGACAACTCAGGGAGGCACTGATCCTCATACCAAATCTTCTTATGGATGAAGATAGTGGATAAGACTCTCTCAATAGCCACCAAGGTCATGATGCACAGACAAAGACAGTGGTTGTCTATGGCTAGGTTATACTCTGGGTCAAGCGTGGCCGCTGTGCCGGAGCTGATAGCTGCCTCCTCGAACAGTCCCAGTTCCATCAAAGCATAGCCTAACACTGACCACATGAATGGAATGTCTGAATCATACACATCCTTCATGAGCTGGATGATCCATTTCTCGGCCAACTTTGGTTGCCGCAGCATCACATGTGACAGGACAAGGATGTATTTGCCAAGACATCTGGAGGGCATCACAACCTCCTCCTGTGCATCAACCTCATCCTGAAGAGGTTCAGGCAAGGTAACCTTCTCCAAACCTCCAAAGACAATATCATCAGACTCTCTCTGAGCCTTCAGAGCATCCTCCAAGTACATGATGGCATCATCATAGTTACCCTGACTGTAAAGGAAGTTGGCATACTTGACACAAACACTCTGGTTCATGTTGATAGCAATAGCATCTTGGAAGTACTGTTCTGCCTTGAGAATAAGCTCCAGCTCCTGCTCTATGGATTCACAGATGCAGGCCTTCACATAGCACATGGTGGCCAGGTTGCCCAACATTGAACACAGCTCAGGACCAACTTCTCCATCATGCAGTTCTTTGCTTATCTCTATACTTTCTTTATAGGAGTCAATTGCTTTGTCCACATCCCCAGCAAAGGAGTGCATCTGCCCCAGCTGGTACAGAGTTGAGACAAGGTCACCCTTGATGTCCTCCCCCAGGACATCCTGGATGTCCCGAGCTTGTTCCAGATAGTGCACAGCATTCTGATACTGGTTCATGCTGATGTGGGCATCAGCAGATCGACTGAGGAGCTGGTTGTGGAGAGCCATGTCATCTGAAGATGTGGTCATCTCATCTGTAGTCTCAGGCTCTGATACATACATGTTCTCATGGTTTCCAAAGTCAAGGGCTTCATTGTAGTATGTAAGAGCAGTCTTGTAGTCATACTGTGCAAAGTAGCAGTCACCCAGAATCTGGAGGATTCTCATACATTGTCTCTTTTCGCCATTCTTGCTCTCAAGCATTAATGCTCGCCCAATGTTCAGATATTTAATTGCTTTGTGTTGTAAATTTAGAACATTATAAGAGTTACCCAGTATGTAGAGATTTTGACAAATCAACCAAAATTTTTCCTTTTTCAATTCAGGAATTTTCTCACCATACATATTCCAAAACACCTCAAAAGCCTGGTAGCACATTGACACACACTTGTGATATGACTTCATCTTGTAGTAACAAATGCCCAAGAGGGAGTGAAGAAGTCCTTGGAAGAAAGTTTCAGATTCTACTCTGTAAGAGTATTGTGCCTGTCGGATCATCCTGTAGGCCAGTTCGAACACAGAGGCAGCCCTAGGATACACATGGAGCATGAAGGTAGATACACCTAACATACACAGCACATGAGCGTTCTGTAACACAGAGTCCTTACCATGAGCACTGGATGATCTCAAGAACCCCATGGATCTCTCATATGAATCTAAAGAATCATTATAGTTTTTTACCACAAAGTGGCAGTCCCCTAGCTTCCTGAGAGCCTTTGCCAGGTACTCTATGTTAGACTCATCATTGTTCTCCAGAACCATTAGAGCTTCTGTGTAACAGGTGATGGCCTCATTGATACTGTTCATGTCCTCAGCTGTTACTGTTTCATCCGACTTTTTGCTTTCAGGACTTGAATCAGCACTATCAGATTCATCTGATGCTTCTTTCTCGAAGAACTCACTCATGGCAGCAATGATATGCTTATGCAGGGCATCCTCATGAAGAACTTTGGCAACATGGGCATTGCCCAGATCAATGAGAACAAGGGCCACTTCTCGGTGAGCATCACGTTCTTGGAGATCTCGAAATATCTGCAGAGCCCTCTCCAGGTGAACCATGCCCTTTGAAGCATCTCCTTGACGAAGACAGAGAATGCCTATGTTCTGTAGTAATTGGGCACTGAACCTAAGAAGTCGGACTGTTCCATCCTGAATGTCATCAACAATCTGGAGAATCTCCTCACACAACATTTCAGCTTTCTGGTACTCCTCTTCATGGAGCAGCTTTGCAACGACTTTATGAAACACTTTGGCAATGACCAGCTTGATTGGTTGCTCTTGAAGTGGGGACACAAAATCTTTTTTAACTATTGGTTCTGGTAATGTTGCTTCCTGAGATGTGGCTCCTGGGACATCATTGTCCTCTGTAGGCTCAGTAGCTAGTTGCAAGATTCCACCAATTTCACAGTTTTTCCTTTCTTCAAGAAAAAAGTCCCAACCATTTTTGTCAACATCACTGGCTGCTAATTCATAACTTAGTGAGTGTTCCTTCACAGCAGTGTCAACTTTAGCTTCAGTGTCTACATCAACATGGTCACTGTACTCTGCATCACTGCCATCTGTTAAAGTATCAAGGCTTAGCCTCTGAGAAGAACTTCTGTCAAAGTCCAACGATCCTCGGAAGTGCAACACTTCATCTAAAATCTCTTGAACATTCTTATTATACAATCGTCTCTTGCAATACAATTGTAGTCTTTTAAACCAATTTGCATTCCCAACAGACATGGCTTCATTGAGAGGAGCCTCATGCAGACTCTCCAAGCTGAAAGACTGTGTCAGGAAGCCAGACTGGTATGGCTTGATGCCCAAACCAAGTAGACTGGAAAGTGGAAACTTTGTAGATGTAGTAGGTGTGAGAGATCCCATAACATTCTGGGTATGATAAGGATCCACAACCCTCCAGTTTTCCCTGAGCCAGTTGTGGATGGTTCTGGCTAGCACATCTTCAAGCCCCCGCACTCTGTTTATTGCCCAGTCCCGCTTTGACTGGTACCAGTCCATCCACTGGTTGTCCTGCTCCAAGTCTATCTCAGTAATACACATCTCTATTGTCTCTTGCAACAAGGTCGTAGCATGAACACACAGCCACTGCCACTCTAACGGACTCTGTCGGCTTGTCCGACTTCTCCTGGTACAAGTTTCAGCAAGACCCATGAAGATTTCAATCTTGGATCGGTAGTTCTCCTCCGGTGTGTCCTCCAGTCTCTGGTATGCCTTGAGGAACAGCCTCTCGGCCTCCACAAGGTTCAGAGCCTCCAGCTGTGCCAGAGCCTTGTCCAGAACTTCCCTTGTACTCAGGCCCTGTTCCTTGTCCTCCATTTCGGCCTCTACAACCTGCAGAGAGAGGCACATCTATGAATGCACTGTACCACATATCACGTTCAACATTTTGACACACATTATACGCATGTTACTTTTACAATGTTCGACACTATCTGCATTTCCGTCTGACAGAAATATCAACAGACTTCTTTATCTTACTATTCAAAATGGCCACTTTTTTTTATAGGCATTCACTGTTGTTAAAACAGGAATATTGTTACCCTAGTGTCATATTACCCCTAATACCAACCATACAAATCATATCCTTGCCTATGTTTTTGGTCATCCCTACAGTTTGAGAAGGCTAATCAGAAATACACATGACTTTGTTTTAACATATGTAAACCTTATTATAGATATATTACAAATCTAAAATCATTAGTTAATATGTTTCACTCAAATGACTGAGTATAATGTGTGCAGTTTACTGCCAATTTCTTTGATACAAGTGAAAAATAGTTATATTGATTATTTCCGTAGTATATAAATGCATTGTAAACACCCCCTTTTCTGAATCATGCCCTTTATCAGCAAATGGCAACTTCTCTCCTCAAGTATAGGTATGAGTCAGATATGAACTTATAGATCTTACACCAGCACAAGGTGTAGTGTCCAACACTGACTAGTCTGATATGACACACAGAACTGCTCCAGCAATTGGGAAATAGGTATGTGGTGGTGGTGGTGGTGGAATTGGGTTTAACGTGGTGCTTGAGAATATTTCGCTCATATGACGATGTGCATGCGTGTGTATGTGTATGTGCGGCTGCTTGTACTAGCCCAGACTGAAGCTGGTTTTATAGTGCTAGCCCACTGAGATACCATGCCACAGTGAAGCATGAATACCCCACTCAGACACATTATACTGACTCCGAGCCGACCAGTCCTTGTTGTACCCATTAATGCCGAGCGCCAGGCAGGGACCAACAAGTACCATATTTTAACGTCTTTTGGTATGACGCGGCCGGGGATCGAACCCGCGACCTTCCGCTCCCTGGGCGGACGCTCTAACCACTACACCACGGAGGCGGTCAAATAGAAATGTGAACCTCACCTTCTCCAGATCATCATCCTTGGCTGTGTTTTCCCGAGTATCATCCTGTTGTATCTTCTCCTCTCCACCACCGCCACTACTGCCAGACTTGATGTCATCCAAAACAGACTCCAGTGACCGACCACCAGTCAGGATAAAACCTGATAAATCATTCTCCTTCCAACCTGAAACACAAGAAGAAACCATGAAGGACACAACCAGCTAAAGATAGGATTCACAACCATCTCTGGCCATGAAGGACACATGCACCTGAGTACATGAGGCACAAAACCAGCTGACTGACTGACTGATTTTGGTTTCATGAGGGACACTTTTAGCAATATTCACAACAACATCACGGTACACCAGAAATGGGCACACACATTGTACCCATGGGGGTGAGGGACACAACCGGCTGAAGGCATGACGACACAACCACCTGAGGGCGTGAGGCTACAACCAGCTGAAGGCATGATTCACAACCACCTGAGGACACAAGAGACACGACCACCTGAGGACATGAGGGGCACAACCACCTGAGGACATGAGGGACACAACCAGCTGAAGGCATGATTCACAACCACCTCAGTACATGAGGGACACAACCACCTAAGGACGTGAGGGACACAAACCAGCTGAAGGCATGAACCAGCTGAAGGCATGATTCACAACCACCTCAGTACATGAGGGACACAACCACCTAAGGACGTGAGGGACACAACCAGCTGAAGGCATGATTCACAACCACCTGAGGACGTGAGGGACACAACCAGCTGAAGGCATGATTCACAACCACCTGAGGACATGAGGGACACAACCAGCTGAAGGCATGATTCACAACCACCTCAGTACATGAGGGACACAACCACCTAAGGACGTGAGGGACACAACCAGCTGAAGGCATGATTCACAACCACCTGAGGACATGAGGGACACAACCAGCTGAAGGCATGATTCACAACCACCTCAGTACATGAGGGACACAACCACCTAAGGACATGAGGGGCACAACCACCTGAGGACATGAGGGGCACAACCACCTGAGGACATGAGGGACACAACCACCCAAGGACATGAGGGACACAACCACCCAAGGACATGAGGGACACAAGCACCTGAGGACATGAGGGACACAACCAGCTGAAGACATGATTCACAACCACCTCAGTACATGAGGGACACAACCACCTGAGGACATGAGGGGCACAACCACCTGAGGACATGAGGACACAACCACCTGAGGACATGAGGGACACAACCACCTGAGGACATGAGGGACACAACCACCTGAGGGGACATGAGGACATGGACACAACCACCTGAGGACATGAGGGACACAACCAGCTGACATGAGGGACGTGAGGGACACACAACCACCTGAGGACATGAGGGACACAACCACCTGAGGACATGAGGGACACAACCACCTGAGGGGACACAACCACCTGAGGACATGAGGGACACAACCACCTGAGGACATGAGGGACACAACCACCTGAGGACATGAGGTACACAAGCACCTGAGGACATGAGACACAACCACCCGAGGACATGAGGGACACAACCACCCAAGGACATGAGGGACACAACCACCTGAGGACATCAGAGACACAACCAGCTCTGTACATGTGGGACATGTATCTCAGAACATGACGAACACAACCATTTTAGGACATGGGGGTCACAATGACCTGAAGACATGTAGAATCAGGAATATAGAATTCATGTAAATAGGGCAGCATGTGGTACCTTAACACAAGAGGAAAGAAAGCCCCTAGTTATGTCAGTCACTGACACTGACAAGACAGTTCATCTATTACATCTGCATGACAAGCTTAAGCTGAGGCATGTTTTCATCAAGCCTGACAAGCACAAGACTTTTAGAATCTAATTTTCACTACAACCTACCTTACCAGATGGAGGGCTATGTATGCCACACACATTCCACAGGCAATACAAGCATTTCTCTCGCCATAGGCAAGACTTCCAAATGCCACTATATTTCTACAACGTCCAGGTCTGCATAAAATTAAACATATTTCCTTATTGAAATAGAAAATTGTCCTTTCATACGATTTGAAAAAATAATGTAGCTCAAGCTTAACATGTAATTTCCATTGATTAGTTAGTACTATCTTTGCAGTGATTCTGAGGTAGCTAGTGCTACAATCCATTACATGTCACTTTAATGTTCAGTGGAATCTGTCAAATCCGGACTCTGTGTAATCCGTTTTTCTCCATAATCCGGACTATTCTATGAGGAGAATTTACAGAGGCAAAAGCAACAAGAAGACAAAGTCATCAATATCTCCCACAATGGCAAAATACTCTTTATGAATATGTCTACTAGTTATGATTATGAAAAATGTTTTGGAGTGTATACAGCAAAGTGGAAGGAGAGTATTAAAAGGTTTTTAAGATCTGCTCCAGAAAGAAGCACTACCACCAAATTCAGTTGAAGCCTAACTTGTTGCCATGGAAATGCAACAAGATGACATCCTCATAGTCACAGCCTAAGTCATATTTCCATGGAAACCCAAAAATATAAAATTCATATCTGGCTGTAACCCCCAAAAGGCACATCTAGGGATCATGCTTGATATGTGTACCAAGTTTGATGAAGCTAGCATGTATAGTTGGGAGATCTGTTCCGGACAAGATGACATCCTCATAGTCACAGCCTAAGTGGCACATCTGGGGATCATGCTTGATATGTGTACCTAGTTTAACTTTTTGTGTTTACCTGAGCACATGTCACTGTAACTGATTGTTTACCCTAGCACATGTCACTGTAATGTATTGTGTTTACCTGAGCACGTCACTGTAACTGAATGCTTACCCGAGCACATGTTGCTGTAACTGATTGTTTACCCTATATGTCATTGTAATGTATTGTGTTTACCCCAGCACATGTCATTGGTATGTATTGTGTTTACCCCAGCACGTCATTGTAATGTATTGTGTTTACCCCAGCACATGTTGCTGCAACGTATTGTTTACCCCAGCACATGTTGCTATAATGTATTGTGTTTACCCCAGCACATGTCATTGTAATGTATTGTGTTTACCCCAGCACATGTCAAAGTAATGTATTGTGTTTATCCCAGCACATGTCATTGTAATGTATTGTGTTTACCCCAGCACATGTTGCTATAATGTATTGTGTTTATCTGAGCACATGTCATTGTAATGCATTGTGTTTACCCCAGCACATGTTGCTATAATGTATTGTGTTTATCCCAGCACCTGTCATTGTAATGTATTGTGTTTACCCCAGCACATGTTGCTGCAACGTATTGTTTACCCCAGCACATGTTGCTATAATGTATTGTGTTTACCCCAGCACATGTCATTGTAATGTATTGTTTACCCCAGCACATGTCATTGTAATGTATTGTGTTTACCCCAGCACATGTCAAGTTGTGCAATGTAACTGTTGTTTACCCCAGCACATGTTGCTGTAATGTATTGTGTTTACCCCAGCACATGTCATTGTAATGTAATGTGTTTACCCCAGCACATGTCAAAGTAATGTATTGTGTTTATCCCAGCACATGTCATTGTAATGTATTGTGTTTACCCCAGCACATGTTGCTATAATGTATTGTGTTTATCCCAGCACATGTCATTGTAATGTATTGTGTTTACCCTAGCACATGTCATGTCATGTCATTGTAATGTATTGTGTTTACCCCAGCACATGTTGCTGCAACGTATTGTGTTTACCCCAGCACATGTTGCTATAATGTATTGTGTTTACCCCAGCACATGTTGCTATAATGTATTGTTTACCCCAGCACATGTTGCTATAATGTATTGTGTTTACCCCAGCACATGTTGCTATAATGTATTGTGTTTACCCCAGCACATGTTGCTATAATGTATTGTGTTTACCCCAGCACATGTTGCTATAATGTATTGTGTTTACCCCAGCACATGTTGCTGTAATGTATTGTGTTTACCCCAGCACATGTCACTGTAATGTATTGTGTTTACCCCAGCACATGTCATTGTAATGTATTGTGTTTACCCCAGCACATGTCACTGTAATGTATTGTTTACCCCAGCACATGTCACTGTAATGTATTGTGTTTACCCCAGCACATGTCACTGTAACTGAATGTATACCCCAGCACATGTCATTGTAATGTAATGGTTACCCCAGCACATGTCACTGTAATGTATTGTGTTTACCCCAGCACATGTTGCTGTAACTTATTGTTTAACCCAGCATGTCACTGTAACTCACCCCAGATGTCACTGTAACTCACCCCAGATGTCACTGTTAGTACTGTGTTTACCCAAGTGAGTATGTGGGAAGGTGTGATGTGAACTCTGCCCTTGATGCCGAGGTGCGTCTACATAATGTGTATCGTGTTCCCAGCAGTCAGCTCGTGTTCCGACAAGCTGCACCCCATGTCTGCCCCAACCTGTCGGCCTGTCTCCAGGGACCTACGCTGCAGCTCCACTTTTCTCTCCCTTTCAAATCTGTTATCTTAGCTATATCTGAAACCTCCAGTTATGGGAATTGGTTGTTTTTTATCAATCTTGAAAGATATCAATACTCCTGAATTTTTTATATATTTTCCAGAGCTGTGAATAAGATGCATATATACCACATATGTGACAATGCAATGCGATACACCTGCCTGGCTGGAGTCAGGGGGTCACGCTATATCCCTGTGTTATTCCAGTGCATGACAGTTAAGTTTCTACAACAAACACTGAAACCAATTACTCTTGATCCTATTTATATAGTGAGAGAGTGAGTTTTGTTTTACGCCGCTTTAAGCAATATTCCAGCAATATCACGGTGTGCGACACCAGAAATGGCTTCACACATTATACCCATGTGGAGAATCGAACCTGGGTCTCCGGCGTGACGAGCGAACTCTCTAACCACTAGGCTACCCCACCACTCCCTATTTATATAGGCATTCTGATACTCATATCGATGAACTACACCAATCTGATAGACAGGCTGTCACAATCCTATAAACACAACACTGATGTACCCTAATAAGAAACTGTGCCTGCATGAATCAACAACCTCATGACTAACATTCCCAATGTATCTCGACAGGTGCTTCTTGATGTACTTTGTTCACCAGTTTGTCCGTAAAACATTAGGGAAATTAAGATAAAGCGTTTATAGCAAGTTTCTGAAATAATTTCATTGGGAACT